CACGTCACTACACTGTTTTATTTCATCGATCGTCTGAGTAAAACTTTCAAAATTAAAATAAAAGAGAACATATTTTTACATTCTGAACATAAGACTATAGTGATCACTATAAAATAATTAAAAAAAACGACAAATCACAGTTACTAAATAAATGACAGTTGCGTGGAGATAAATTGATATTTTGTTGAAATAGGTGAACGGGTCGGGTCACGACGAGGGCAAGTGCGTTAAAAGCGGCGTTTAATTGGATAACAAAAATAATCGAGATCGACACACATACAGATAAATTCAGAGTGGATTCGAGTTAGCGTGATTGTCATAATTATAACATCATATTAAAACTTTGGTGGAAACACATTGATCAAGCCCGGATTCTTATTTCATAAATTATTACGCAGATCAAGCTGCAAGCATGGATGTAAAAAAAGAACAGAGGTGTGAATTCGACATTCAACACCAATCACCAAACAATTCAAAAACTTTTAGCCTTTGAAAATGAAAACAATTAGCAGTGTGTAAGGGCTGTGTAATTTCCTGTTTGTTCGACGCTTCGTTTTCGTGTCACCATGGAACTATAGGGGTTTATAGTTCCATGGTGTCACTGTCAAAAGTATTGCTACCTTTTACTTAACAGGGAATAAATGGTCTCTATAAAACGATAATCACGATCGCAAAAAAAAAGTCAACACATTTGAAACACTTGCCGGACATCTCTTCTAAAATCCGCCTCGGTGATCATGGGCTGGTCCGAAATCTATGTCTTTCAAAAGTGTTGTGCCAGGTTTACGTTGTCGGCGTTTCTCTTTAAACCTAGTTTTTTTTTCATGGACGAGGACAGTTTTTCCACACACAAAAAGGAATCTGAGGTTAAGTGGCTTTCGTCCACTGATGTCGCACCTTCGGATCAATTAGAAACATGTGAATACATACACTATGACTATACGTTTCACTGCAACTGCCCACAACACAACATCTAAAAACTCTCTCTCAAAAAAAAAATAGACAAAAAAAAAGAAAAAAACGCCGACCGAAA